TGTGTGGTTCCATGTTCCAAATGATCCTTCCTTCCTGGCAGAGAAAGCCTTTTTTGCTTACCATAGCTTACAAAAAGAAATAAATATACTCTGTAAACCTTGGGTGGAATTGGCTGTGGAGATGGTCTCTGTACCTTTTGGTACCTTCTGGCAAAACTTTAGGAACTGTAGCAAGCTCAAGCAACACTCAATAAAAATAAGGTTCTTGGAGATTCTATTTGAACTGTGGTAACCAAAATAGCATGTTCTACAGAAAGTACACAACAATGTTTTATACTTGGTGGAATACCCACCATTACCTAAAATATTCTGTTGCCCCTGTAGCTGCTTGAAAGATTGCAGGAGTAGCAGTCAAAAAGTATACCTCACTTTGTTCCTTGAATTTTAAATTCTTTTAGGGCCAGATTTGGAATTCAGCATGCACGACGGGACAATCAGAGACCTTGCTTTTATGGAAGGCCCAGAAAGCGGTGGTGCTATTTTAATAAGTGCCGGAGCAGGGGACTGTAATATTTACACAACAGACTGTCAGCGAGGACAAGGCCTGCACGCTCTCAGTGGCCACACCGGTACGTGTGGTGGTGCTTCTCTCTCTTGCTTCTTAAGTCTGTATTACCTTCTAATAAAGTTGTTGGTTTGTTTTGTTTTTTTTTAATGTCTTCTGGTTCTTCTTTCTAGCAAGATTTTTTTCCTTCAAATTGCTCTTCAGGTATTTGGGCAAAGGTGTTTGTTTTTAAATACATTAGCTGTTAATTTCATGGAGAGAGTGCATGCTTCATTCCAGGGGAAATGCAAAGCTGGGTATTGCCTTACACTGCTGGCATTTTAGATCATGCAACGTGCAGGTTTTCCATAGGAACTGTTAAATCCCTGAATGCAAAAATATAATCAGAACTGTAATGTTTCATTATTTGATTAATGATGTTTAATCAAATGAATACATTGTCTTGTTCACAGGTCATATTTTAGCACTTTACACCTGGAGCGGCTGGATGATTGCATCTGGATCCCAAGACAAGACTGTAAGATTCTGGGATCTGAGAGTGCCAAGCTGTGTTCGAGTTGTGGGAACGACGTTTCATGGAACAGGTAAGAATTGCTCCCATGCTTCTCATCATCCTTGCATGGAAATATTTTTTTGAAGGTGTCTAAGTAGTACAGAGTGAATGTAAGGGGTTTTTTTGAATCACAGAATGGAGGCGTGCCTTAAAAGAAGTAAGTTGTGAGGGTACATTTACCTGTGTGTTTTGGGTTGTGTTGTTTTGTGTGGTTTTTTTTTAAGTAACATTTCTTTTGAAAAGTTGGCTAGTTTTTTTGTCTTGTGATTATTTTTTTTTTTCAAAGACACTTCCAACTACATCAAAATAAAACAAGACTCAAAATAACACTTTCAGAATCAAAAGACGGGGCGGAAAGGAGCAGCCATTTTTGCAAGTCGTCAGCAAACTGTATAGGAATCTGCAAAGGGATTCTTAAGAAGCACTTGGGTTCAGATTTGTTTCTTGAAAGCTTGGGGGGGCGATAGATTAGAACTGTGAGGGGGAGAGAGGGCACAATTCCTTTCATTATTCTACATTATTATTTTTTCTTGCACAGCTTTAACAGTAGCTTTGCTACTATAGGTCACATTCCCGTGTGACCTATGGCTTCAGACTTTTAAGTGCTAGAACATAAAAATGTTGTTATTTTAAGATAAAAGTAGCAAAGTATGTTTATTAAATCTAAGGCCATTTTATATTATTAGGCCATTATATATTAACCATTTTATATTCTTATACAATGTATATTTTGGGGTTTTGTTTTTTTTAAGTTGGCTATTAGTACAAATGTACATAAGTATAATATGTGTGTGTTGTTGAGGTGTGTTATCTCTCATAGGAAGTGCTGTAGCCTCAGTAGCTGTTGATCCCAGCGGTCGTCTCCTGGCGACGGGACAGGAGGACTCCAGCTGCATGCTGTACGACATTCGGGGAGGCCGGATGGTGCAGAGCTATCACCCTCACTCCAGCGACGTCCGGTCCGTCCGCTTCTCTCCGGGGGCACACTACTTGCTCACCGGGTCATATGATATGAAAATAAAAGTGACAGACTTGCAAGGTAACATGCTAAAAAGGATACTAGGTTCATTTTCAGTTTGGTGCTTTTAGTATTGGAGTTGTAAGAGAACTTGGTTCAAAAATCAGGTTTTAGTTTGAAAGGGGAAAAAATAGTAGAGCTTTCAAGGGTTTGAAATGTGTATAAATATAACTTTGTCTGTTTGCATTTGGCTGATTGCGTTCCTGAGAATGCAGGCTGTGAATTAAATCTTGTTTGGGTAGAGGGGTCTGGTTATGATAGAAGAACTAATTAACACTGTTGCCTGATGAGATGGCCATTGCTTTCGGGCAGCATTTGTAAGATTCACTCTTTTAAAAAAAAAAAAGTATAATAATAATGCTTATTTTTATTGGGAAGAGTTAAGAAGAGAAATGATACTGTGTATATCTAATAGACTTCATTTTCTTTTGACCATTGAATTTTAATCACGTTATTTAAAAACTGTGAACACCTGGTTTTTAAAGTTGCACTGTGTGCAGTAATGCCTAAAAAGCAAAACACTGGGGCAGTCTAACTGCGTGTGAGTGAGTGAGAAGAGGGGTCAAGTATGCTACCTATGTAAGCTTTACAAAACCCCAAAGAGCTGGGATATGAATTCATGAAATGACTGAGGATTTCTCTTCCTTTGCCACAGGGGACCTCACGAAACAGCTTCCTCTTATGGTGGTAGGAGAGCACAAGGACAAAGTTATTCAGTGCAGGTGGCACACGCAAGATCTTTCCTTCTTGTCCTCTTCTGCAGACAGAACTGTAACCCTTTGGACCTACAACGGCTAGAGTGCAAACAACGGCAACCTATGCAGCTAAAGCACAGACACCCGAGACTACAGAACTGTAAAAACAAAGTAATAATAAGTAGGCATTGAGAGAGCAGCAGTTGAGCAGGAGAGTGTCATAGCAAGAGGAGGGGCACTTGTCACAGATTTTTCTGGTTTTTCGGAGGTCTTGGTGTTTCTTAGTATATTCTTTTGCAGTGCTTTCAGTCTTCCATGTGAACTCATGCTGCTGTGACTTATTGTAGTCTTGTTGCCAAAGTCTATGAGGAGAACTCTTACGTTGTCGATGTGCACTCAAAGTACCATGAATGACGTGTTTACAGTTTGGTATTAATTGCATTCCTTGGTCTTTGCCTCAATGAGAATTTTATACAGAAACTTCAGTTGAGCACCACTTTAATCAAGTTGTATGTAACTACTTCCACACACACACACATAAAAGATATATTACTTCCACTGTTTTTTCAGATTTATTATATTCATTGCTTCTCAACAAGAGGACAAACCTTATAACAGCTCCACGGTTTCAACTTTTTTAGTAATAAAATTTTGAACTCTAAAGGTGAGTAGGCAGTAACAACATCTTGATTATGGTCCATTCTTTAGTGTGGGTACTTTTCTTTCTTTTCATCTAAACTGGGGGAAATGTTGCTGTTTTTATTATGTGACATTGTTTTGAACAAGCTAACATGTTGGAGGGGAAAAAAGTATTGGAAAAAAAAAATTTTGCTGTAGAAACATGTAATATTTTACTTTTCGAATGCAACAGAATACCTCTGTGTATAATGTACTGTAGAAAAGAGTGGATTGGCAGCAGTTGTCACAGTGAGCTTAATGGCTATCAGTTTTTCAAGTAAAAGGGATACCATTAATGCTATAATAGAAACCAGCATGGCTTAAAATGCTATGTCTGCATGATAATTTAAGAATTAAATTGTTTGAATTCCCAGTTCAGAAGCTTATCTGAATTTTATTTCTTGCACTGTTTATGTATGGGGAAACTGCAGTTTTATTTCTACAAAACTTTAGATTCTAATGTTTATGTATTGTTATATTTTCATATTGTACAGTTCCTTTTACTTTTTAAAATATAAACCTTAAACATTAGGTTATTTATTTATTTGAACTGCAGTTAAGTTTGGGATCCTCTCGGTTACTAAATTATATGTGCACTGTAGCAAGCATTTCTAACTATCGTATAAAAGTGGAAAGGTAACTATAGAAGTGTATCTGTGCTATAATCTCAATAAAGACCTCCAACACCTGCAGCCATCTCATCTGCTAATTGGGATGCCGGGTTTGTAATTCCTCAGTGCAGCTCTGGTGCTGGAGCCGTGTGTCAGAATCTGTTGTCTGCCTGGAACTAGAAGAGACTTTTGATCTTTGAAACCCTTTCCAGGTGTCTGGCTTTGCACGGTGACGAGTAATAATACTGTTTGGTTTTCTGTATTGGATGCGTAGGTTAAGGTCTTAATGCTGCTCCGGAGGAAAATATGACTTCTAACCCTTCTGTTCCTCCAGCTGGCTATCTGGGGTCAAAGCTGGCAGACTCCTTTTAATTAGCACTACACGTACTAAAATACTGACTCTTATTATAACTTATCTATTGTTAGCGCTGTCGGTTTGTGCCCGGCCCTGGCTGGGACTGAGCGGTGTTGCCGTGGGCGCCTCCCCTGCGCCGCTATTGACCAAAGGAAGGTCTCTTTCCTGCGGTGATTCCTGCGCCGTTAAATGTGGCTCCCTGCGCCACCCGCTATCATTAAGCTGTTAATTACTGTCGTGACTGCCGCCTCCTGTGCCCCCTCCCCTCCCGCAGGAGGCCGGGCAGCGCGGGGCGGGCCCACCCCCTCGCGCCCGCGCGTGGGGCCTTCCCGCCGCCGGAGCGAGGCCTCCGCGTGCGCTTGGCCGCCCGGGCTTGCGCGAGCGGCTCCGCCCGGGCCTGAGGGCGGGGCCGTGCCTGTGGAGCGAGCGGCGGGAAGGCCGGCCTGAGGGGAGGGAGCGGCGCGACGCCCCTCCCCGCCCGTCGGGGGCCTGGCGCTGCGGGGCGGCTGCGGGCCGGGTAAACGCCCCGAGGCCGCCTGCGGCCCTTCAGGTACTGGGGAGGCGGCGGGGGTCGCTGGCTGGAGCCTCCTTACTCGGGCCGGGCCTGCGCCTTGCCCCGGCCCTGGCGCCCTCCTGGCGGTGAAGGGGTGAGGGGGGGCGGCGGGAGCCAGGAGGTTGGGAGGCCGCGGGTCCCCTCAGGCCGCGGCGCTGGTGCCTGAGGTAAACGATGCGGGAGGGAAGGCGGGAGAGGAGCGTGCGGGGCGCCCGTGTGGTGGCCGTTTCAGCGCTCGCAACGCGCGGCCTCGGGGAGGCGCGGCCCTGCCCGGGGGTGGGCCTGAGCGGGGCCGGGGCCGGGCAGAGGAGAGCGGGCGGGCGGCCCAGCACGGAGGCAGCAGCGCCGTGGCTGCAAGGCAGGGCAGGGCAAACACCCTCCCGGCCTCGGCGAGGCTTTGCCAGGGGGCTTTCTGTAGCCATAACGGTGCTTAGACCCTCGCCCGAAGCCTGTGGGAGATCTGCGCTGTGGGGTGTGTTTAGCAATGCCGGGCTCTGCTCTGCGCCTGCTCATAACCGTAGCTGCTTCTGTTGAGCCACTTCTATTGTGCTGTTCGGTTGATGGGTGTTCTTACCAGTGTTTTCTTTGGGAAAAGAATTACAAAAGTGAAGTTTAATCTCCTTAATGGAGAATCGAGTTTTTAAACAACATCGGAAAATACTTTTTTCATGTTGTAAGATTGTTTTGGGGTTTTTTTTGTGCAACACGTTACATCCTGACCTAAATATCTGAACTTGTTGTTGTATTTAGGGATACAGGATGCTGTTTCCTTTGGTGCTGTGTGCAGTTGTGCTACTGGGCAGCAGTAAAGTTCAAGATGATGAATGGATCGACCCCACGGATATGCTTAATTATGATGCAGCGTCAGGAACGATGAGGAGACCTTACAAGGTAGAAAAAGAAGAAGGGTGCCAGAATGTATGTCTTTCCGAAGCAGTCCTTCAGTCACGTGCTCTTGAAAGGTTCTCCTTAAGTTGTGAAATTGTGGTCTTCTTGAGGTCTTATAAGGTTATATCTGAATCTGTGTACAGGAAAGTGTTGTGTGACCATTGCTAAAATTGCAAGAAAGAAAAAGCAATCTGCGTTATTGTAGATAATTAGCTCAGGACCTTTTACTGACAGGTTTCTGTTGCGCACTGATCAAGTGACAGGAACCAGGCTTTTTCTCTTCACGGCTGGTGGTTGATTTCTGCAGGTTGTAGCTCCACAAGTTTTTTCTCTGAGAAATATTGAGTTAAACAGTTCTTGCTAATTTCTGAAGCATAGCGTTAAAGATCTTGAAAATTAAGATTCTTGCTGATAAATATTGGGGGAGTTAAGCTTAATGCTTATATTTTACTTAAATTATCCGTTGTGTGAGAATATTACAAAAGTTAATGGTGTTTTGTAATGCTGGGCATGAGTGTTTTCAGAAGGAAGATGCGAATGGGGGGCGAGTGCTGTGTGTGCTGTTAATAAGTCATGAACGCTGAGGAGAAGATGCAATATGAACAGCTGGTTTTAACAAGGTGAATCGTACTCTTGTCTTGGGCGACAGGTGGACTCTCTCTCTCCACGTATCATGAGATGCGTATTGTTTAACCTGTGCACACATGACGCTGTAAGCTGTGGTTGGTTGTATGGGCACCCTTGATTTTTGTCATTCTTCAGCTTACAAGTTTGTTTTTGTAGTCTCGAATCTTAATGCTTCAGGCCGTAATTTTCTGGAGCTTAGAAAATGCAAACTCCATTATTTCTCTCCACAGAGTTCCTTCTCAGCCTCCACCTGCCCCAAGTCCACCCAGTAGTCATCAGCATCCCTGAAATTCAGCAGCAAACTTTGCAGTCTTTAAACTTGGTGCCCAGCTGCTTCAGCTTTTATTAAAAAAAGTATTAGGGATTTTACTGTTGTCTCCCACCTTAAAGGAGAGGAATGGCTGCTTAGGGTTTACCAATGTTTTCAAGATTCCTTTTCTGCTCTGCAGGGAGAGCAGGCTGTCATCTCCAGCCAGGCAGGCTATGTGGGCCAGCCAGCTCCTCCAAACTTCCTATCAGTGGGAATTCACCCACTTGTGTGATGTTGTGGTTCCTTTTGAGGACTTCCCTCAAGGCACATGGCTGCTTGTGTAGAAGCAGCACTCCTAAAACTAAGTCGGAGCAATCACCAGAAAAAAATGGGATGTTGTTTCACAAGCCCCGGGTGCGGGTGTGTGTTTACTCTCGGTCTGGGCGGCCGCGTGGCCAGCTGGACCGGGGATTTGGCTGGCTGGAGCCCGCCCCACTGCTTGCTGAGTCGGTTTTTAGCCAGCCCCATTATCTAATCTGATGCGCCGCGTGGGTCGCCTGCGCTCGGAGGAGGGGAAAGGGCAGGTGGGGGAGGAAAGGGTAAGGCCTTGCCTTCTGAAGGCAGCGTGCATTTAGGGAAACTTAAAGTCTTTTGGAGCCTGGAATTAGAGCAGAGGCAACTGGACTGTGGGTCGGGGAGCGTTAGTGGCAAAGATCAACGCTCAGTTTTTAGGTCCTTTTAAAGTGATCTGATTGTAGAAGTGTAACACAGCGCATCGATCGAATGCTTTGATTCTAAAAATACGTGTTTTTCTTATGTCATTCTAGGCAAACTACCATGGTGCTGAGGATAAGGCTGGGGATGCAGTCAATACTGAAGCCTTATTGAGGTCTTCAAGGGAAGTAGATTCCTTGCAACAGAAGGTTTGTTACAGAACTTGAGAATATTTTCCAGCCTTTTAGAGTCTGTGCTTTCTGGGGATGCTTGTCTGGGTAGTGTAGGCAGGGGAGTTGCTGGCATCATTTGTGAGGGACCATGGGTCGTGTAGGGGGAACCTCGTCACTGAGAGGAGAGACTAGAAGCGGTTTGAACTCCATTCCAAATTGCTGCTCTGCTCACCAAGGTCTGTTTCCTCAAATGCTTGATAGCATAACAGGGGTTGATAGCAGCTTCCTGCTTCTGTCCAGTGTCAACAGAGGAAAGGTGTGGTGTTGATGTTACACCCTGCTGCCAGAACCTGAGACCTGCCCTTTCCAAGTTGTTTGGTTCTGTTGGGTTTTCAGGGTGGACTGTGGGCAATAGAGAAGGTGTGTGTGGCCGACTGTGACACGCAACGCTGCAGCTCTCAGAAGCTGCTGTAAAGCCCCCCACGCTGCTTCTTCCTCCAAGATCAGGAGGATGGGGTGATGCTCTCACTTCCCTCAGCCATTTGGAGACCCAAGGGAACACATAATTTTAATGTTGTTTTAGTTACTTAGTATTTTTTACCATTCTCTTTATTTTTTTTTTCTGATGTAAACTTAAAATTTAAGGAGATAGGGATCTTTAGTTTTTTCTAGGTTTACAGAGGTTAGTATGCAAACCATATTGTGAGCAGATCTGAAATCTCCAGTACTGACCAGTCCCATGGAAAGTATTATCTTCAGCAACTGCAGTGGCTTTTTACCTGGTGTACTAATCATGGGATTATCGCTAAACTAAAGAAATGTGCCTTTCTCAGTCCTGTAGGTAGGGGTTTGGGTTTTTGTATTGTGAGCAGATCTGAAATCTCCAGTATTGACCAGTCCCATGGAAAGCAACTGCAGTGGCTTTTTATCTGGTGTACTAATCATGGGATTATTGCTAAACTAAAGAAGTGTGCCTCTCTCAGTCCTGTAGGTAGGGGTTTGGGTTTTTCTGCTGTGAACAAGCTGCTTTGGGCAAGAAGTGAATAAAAGATCTTTATGTTGCAGATTGCAGAGTGTGAGAAGAGGAATGCCAAATCACGCGAAACCCGTAGCTTTTACATTTTCAAGCGATACCTGAATAAGATTTTAAATGAAGCTGGAAAACTTGGCCTTGTGAGTATTCGAACCTGCATTAAAAATTAATTAAAATTCATGTGTGTTCTTCACAGTTATCAAGTTGATTTATTGATTGATTAATTATTTTGGCTTACTTGAAATTTAAGTTACGATGAGGGGAACTGAATTGCAAAGGGAAAAATGCTGGAAGCGTGTGTATCCGTATCGCTGCTCAGGAGAGACAGTTGCCCTTTGATCTGTAAAGCGTCCAGAGGAGGGCTGCAGGAACTCCAGCGTGTATCTACATGTCTGTTGCTGGGACGGGGCTACAGTAATACCCTGTTCAGGTCATGCTAATGGTTGTTCAACTTGAAAGAGACAGATTTTGTTTGTTTGTTTGTTGTAGGCCATTTAGGCCTTTGTTTTAAACTCTAGCACATTAACCGTCTAGGAATATTTGAGCCTATTAGAGTTTGTGTATAGGAATCACCTTATTACTTCATTGTATTGTCTTTGGAGATATATTTTTTTCTATTCAGAGGTAGAGGACTAAAACCAAACAACATTATACTTAGCAATGTAAAATTTCTTATTTCATTATTTAATGATAATTAAATAGAGATAATTAAGTAGAGAGGCGGGGGTAGGTCCCTTCTCCCAAGTCACAGGACAAGAGGAAATGGCCTCACGCTGCGCCAGGGGATGTTGAGATCAGATAGTAGGAAAAATTAGAAAAAACCAGTAACACTGAAGGGGTTATCCAGCATTGGAATGGGCTGCCCAGGGCAGTGGTTGAGGCGCCATCCCTGGAGGTATTTAAGGGACGGGTTGACATAGTGCTCAGTGACGTGGTTTAGTGACGGGTTTTTATCAGTTGTGGTGCTGGCTGGACTGGATGACCTTAAAGGTCCCTTCCAACCAAGACAATGCTGTGATTCTAGTAGCTTCTGTCTGTGTTACCCAGCCACAGTTGGGGCACATATAGTTACTAATACTTGTTAATGAGAAGTGGTTTTAAAATTTTAGTAACAGGTGAGATAACCAACTTCATTTTTTAGGTTTTTGCTGTAGAATTAGAAGAGTACAAACCAGTTGCATTTGTGCTTTATATTGTTTAGAGGAATGAACAAAAAGGTTATAGAATCATGGTGTCCTCCCTGTCCCACATCTTCATCCTGCAGTGTGTGTCACAGAGCTGCTGGTACATCATGAGGGTGTGTAACGAGTGTTTGCACAGGGAAACAGGGTTTCACATGCAATTCTGTTTCCAAATAAGCAGCTTTTAACCGTCATTTTGCTTTGCTTTTAATGCAGCCTGAGGGAAACGTGGGCCACGTCCATTACGATGCTGAGATCATCCTGACAAAACAGACGTATTCGGAGATCCTCAGGTTTCTCAACGAGGAGACCTGGCAGTCGGGTGCTGTGGACGATGCGCTCAGCGATATTTTGATCAATTTTAAGCACCATGATTATGAAGCTTGGCACTGGAGATTTGAAGACACTTTTGGAATTGATCTATATAATATGTTTATGGTAAGAGAAGAAGAAAGAATTTTTGTCATTTTTTAATGGCTGTTTTCTCCAGTTTCTTTGCACAAGTCTAGCCAATGCACATCACCATCTTAACTCCACTCCTAAAGTAGTTCTTCCCATCATACTTTCAGTGAGTCACTCTTGGTTTCATGGGTGCTGAAGGTAGAGGTGATGTGTTCACTTGAAGTGAGAATTGAAGTTTTCTTACTCCTCTGGTCATCTTTTCTTGGTGTAGCTTTGTATTTCTGTCTGGTGTGCTTTCTTTTTCTGTCTTTTATATCTGTGTTGTGTGACTCATCAGGCTCTAGTGCTTTCTGATCACTTAAATTGATAACTCGTGCATTACAAATTTTCCAGATTTGTCTCTTGTTCAACTCCTGCAGAAGCCAACAGCTTCTGCAGGAGTTGGAATATATTTCTATTGAGACAGGTATATATTTGAGGCCTTAGATTTTATAGGTTAGAGGCTTTTGGGAACTTTGTGGAAAAAAAATGTGTATAGTTTTGGAGAGAAAGAGACCGTGAAGCGCTTCTCTGAGGTCTGGCCAATCCGGCCAAAGCCACCAGGGTAGGTAACATGAAAATATCCTAAGGAAGAAATAACCAAGTATCACAAGAAAGAAACGAGCAACTGCACGGCAAAGCTGTGCTAGGAGTGACTGGTAGTAACATGGTGGAGCTTTCTGCCTTGTACTGCTGCAGACACGCTGTGAGAGCGAGGAGAAATCCTCTCAACTGTTCTGTGCACATCACACTAGTTAAAAAAAAACAAGTTGGAAGTTCCTTCGTGTGTACTGGCAGTAAGCTTGGAAAATTCCAAATTTGATCACAGTTTTTTCCGGTTTTCTTTTTCAGATACTCTTGTGCTTAGTGTGTGTTGTAATTCTAATAGCTACGGAGCTCTGGACGCGCATTCATTGGTTTGTTCAGCTAAAACGTGTTTTATTAATAAGTTTTCTCATCAGTTTCGCATGGAATTGGCTTTACTTGTATAAGGTAAGTTCTGAAATCTTAATGACTTTTAGGCTTAAAATTTTACCATTGTAGAATCATAGAATGGTTCGGGTTGGAAGGGACCTTAAAGATTGACAAGTTCCAACCCCCCTGCCATTGATGCTTCATTAATGGTGACAAAGTAGCAAACTGTATGATAGTATTGTATTTAATGAAGAGGAATCAATGCTGCTGTGCCGTAGCCCACCCACAAAATCTCTGTCCTCAGTCGTTGTCACCAGAATTGAGCTGCAGGCTGTGGGACCCGGGAGGAGGCTGGCTGGTCAGCCAGGGGACGGCCCTGCCCAGGACTCAGGCTGGGCTGGTGAAGAACGTCAGAGTTCTTCCAACAGATGATTTGACTTGATTTTTTTCTATTTGATTATCAGTTGCAAAGTGTAAGGCAAAATTAGAATGAATACAGGCATTTGTTAATGAGATTTATTTTTTAAAACATAAGAGAATGTCATCATGTTTTGATTAATAATTGCATGGCAGCTGTCTCAGTTTTTAATCCAGAAACGTTTTGAAGCAACAAGATGTCATCAGATTATTTTGCCCTGAACTTTTATCTTTCAATATTGAAGTTTGCTCTTTTGGTAATTTAGACTCCATTGAGGGAATAACTGAGAGGTATTCGTCTTGGTAGTGGTTATCCATTCCCAGGAAGTACTTAGAATTGCATCTGTTAAATTGTTTAGGTAGCAAGCTTTTCTTCATACAGATTTACCCAGTTAATTATCCCAAACTGGCTAAGAGCAAGCATGGTTAGCTCAGGTGCAGGGATGCAGGTGTTGTGTGCCCAGCACCACCTTTTTATGTTTTCTAAGAAATTGTTTCTCCTGCAGCTGGCCTTCGCGCAGCATCAGGCAGAGATTGCCAAGATGGGACAGTTTGATAACATCTGCGCCGAGAAGATGGACTGGGGAGGAAGTCTTATCGGTAAATGCTTGTTTCATTATTTTGTAATAGTATTTAAGATCACAAAATAGTATCCAAAAATAGTCTTAATTTCTTCACAAGTAGTACATTGAGTTGTCTTCAGCAATACACGATTTCTTTGCTAGGCCTTTGAAGGAGAGCTGATCCCAAACCTGTGCTTAGAGCCCGTCAGGGTGTTCTTTGTCACTTACCCCAGCTCCCCTCCCCTCCCCCAGGACCATTCAGGCCCTTTACTGAAGACAGGAGGGCAGAATTCAAGAAAAAGATACTTTTTTTTCATCTTCCAGGCCTGTGAGTGCAATGGAATTCAGAAATTAGATCTGTAACTACTTACTCTATTTTGTTATTTTACAGGGAAAGCTGAATTATTTTTATTAGCCGTTATTTATTATCCAATGCTATAGCAGGTAGATTAATGATGGCAACTCTTAATGAGTGCTTGTTATGGGCTTCCCTTTAGAATTTATTGGCTGTGATTGCTCTGTTTATTTCAAATGTCACTGGTTTGTGTTCTGACTGCACTAAAATCAAACTGCAGAAACACTGATGTCATAAATTACTGCTTATAACTTAAAGTTTCCTTAAGGAGTAAGACATTCTCCTTACAACTAAAACAGTTTCTTGAAATCTAGCAAGCAAAATATGCATTTTAATCTACTTGCAGCCTGGCAGATGAGTAATGACACTCAGAATTGCTTCTGTTCCAGTAGCTGTGGACAAAATGTACTAGATGACTTTACTGACTAAAGATGCGAAAACCTCAGTTTCTTCTCGTTCTTCCCAGCCTTCCCTCTCCTTCCTGCATCCCCATGACTGGATAAACGACTCTGCCAAGCTCATCTCAGATTTCTAAAAATAAATTGGAGCTTTGAACCATATCTAGAAGAGTTCTCTTCCATCTGTAATTGAAATGCTACTTTCCATATTACTACTGAGTCATGAAATATATTTTTAAAAGTAGTAAATATGTGTCTCTTTTGGCAACAGAATGGTTCAGAAGTAAATGGACGTTTCAGGACGATCCCTGCCAGAAGTACTATGAAACTCTGCTGGTCAATCCTGTTCTGCTGGTTCCACCCACAAAGGTACACGCCCAGCCTGAAGAGACCCTGCACGTTTAGGTTTGCAATCAGTAACAGCACTGTTTCTCTATTTGTATTTTTCTAGGCATTGGCAATTACTTTCACCAACTTTGTAACGGAGCCGTTGAAGCACGTGGGACAAGGGATTGGTGAATTCATCAAAGCACTTATGAAGGAGATACCATTTATTCTGCAGGTTCCAGTGCTAATTATCATGGCTCTGGCTGTCCTGGTTTGTATACATTTCTCTTACGTGATCTACTATATTATTTTAATTGTACTACTGAACAGATGTCTTAGCACAGGTGAAATTATTTTGACAAGGGATTTTTTTCTTTAGAAAAGCTTTATTGGTTTAGCAATTAAAATAGTTTCCGTTTAAATCACATCTTTCCCCCACTCCCCTAGAGGGATAGAATAGTATTAAACTGCTTAAAATCGTAGACTCTATGATAGTTTATTGCACAACTGTAATATAGTATGTAAGTATATAATGGGTATGGTGTACACAAAAGCCTTGAGTTAGAGCTTTCAACATCTTTACTGTGGCACGGAAGATGAGCTGTACCTGCTCTGGCAGATCCTGCAGCGGGGTCAGGCTGCACAAAGCTCGAGTTTATTGTAGCTGTTCTCATCACCTGAGCTTTTCTTTCGTGTGTTTCAGACACCTGGCTTTGAATTCTCTGTGAAAACCATGGGTTGCAAACATTTAGTGTTTTGTTCTTTTCCTTTCCCCCAGGCTTTCTTCTATGGTGCAGGATCATCAGTGTCTGTGTTAAGATACTTAACAACTTCTCAGAGGAAAAGTCTTCCTCCGCCTGAGGGCCAGCAGGAGCAGATAGCCTTTGGGCAGTATGAGGGCAGTAACGCGGATGGCTGTTACACACAGAAGCCTCCTTACCTTTACAGAGGATCTTACGACCGAGGAGATGCTCCTGCCAGAGCAGGAACTGGCAGCAGAAGTCCTGACATGGTGCACGCAAGTGATGAGCCAGACAAGCAAGTAGAGGAATGTCGCAAACCAGAACCTGGTGTATGTTAGTCCTGGGGCTCTTTGAGCTGGGATAAATGGAATAGATTTCAGTGTCACCTGCTAGAACGTGGTTAAACAACAAGCTTCAGCCAAATCTTGGGGAGAGAGGAGTTAAGGGAATACCTGTTCCCCTACAGAACAGTTCGGTAGAGGCGTCTTGCACATGTTTTGTTCTGGAAAAATACTGTGCAATGGCTAACTATGGCAGGAAACTACTGAATCAAACCTCTACTTTTATAGTAAAGACTTAACTATTGATCTCTCAAAAGAGAAGTTAATTATGTCAGCCTGGGCAGAAATGATCACCCACAGAGGAAAGGTGGGGAAAAGAACCGGTGCTGACTTCTCTGTAAATTGTAGAAAATTAAAACCAGACTTACACTCTAGATTGTGCTTACTTACATATTTCCTTAGGAAAAAAAAAACTATACCAGTCATGCTCTGGGGGTGTTCTGCCCCTTGAGCTGAGATGCACCTGAAGCAATAGATGCCATCACTTTGGCTTGCTTGATTAATAGCTTATTATTAATTTTTACAGAATAGATTGCACACTGAGTCTGAAGTTTGTAGACTAGAAACTATCACAGCTGAAAGCCTTACTGAAGAACACGCGCGTGAGCAGCAGAAACAGGAGACAGGCAAAGCAGAGCGAGAGACTGGAGAAAACTGTGATCCTCATAAAAACCTAGAAGGGAAAAGTTCTGTAACGGAACCATGTGAAGAGAAGAAAAAGAGCGGTTCCCGGGACTCCCAGGAAGGAGACTGAGGACACCCCAGGATCTGCGGTAAGTTCTGGCTCACCTTGAGTTGTCTCCTACTTGCTACTTCTGCTCTAGTTCTCCCACGCGGCCCAGCGAGCAGCAGTGAGCACAGCTGTAAGCAAGGTAGGGTTTTAAAAACCCTGAGCCTGAGTATATGTGCTACTTCTGGTACTTCTGGAATTTGAAGTAAAAATGTTGTTAAGTAAGAGAATCCAACTTTAAGTAGCCAAGAAAACAGGCTTGTGGAGTGTTGCTTCTTGTTTGAAATCAACTTAGTGTAGTAAGTTCTGCGCAGAACTGGCTCCTCGTGGTGGGGAAGCGCTGCTGCTCCGTGACCCAGCAGACACTGGCCTCGGCAGGTGACGGACAAACAGCCAAAGGGAGTTGCTGATATTGGTGTAATACCAATCCTAGCTCTGAGATGTCTCGGGATTACCTTCTGGGTTATAGTCTTTAAAGTTAGTTTGCTGCTTGTCAGGTCAGCTTGAGGACAGGTTGATGATTTTCCTCTAGTTTAATCATTTGCAGAGGAGTGGGAAGCTGATGCTGTATCAGATAGGTTTTTTAGGGCAATGTAAAGCTGAATGGGGAAGCAATAAGTACAGGTACCAAAGATCAGCACGATACACTGATGCGAACACACAGGCTTTGGAAGAATATTCTGGCATTTCTGCTTAAAAGCAGAATGAGGGCAGTTTTAGTTTACAGAACTAAAACTAGGGTTTGATTATTTTTTTTTAAATAACAATAATTGCAGAAACAGAGTTTAGAAGAAACAAAGACAGACTAAGTAATGAAGTTGTTTCTCAATTATTTTTTTTTATTTTTAAAAAAACGTATAAAAGAAAACAAGACCTTTCTCCAGGGAGGTACAAATCAGGAAAAAAAATAATCAAGTTTTCTTTGAAAATAACATACAAATTCAGGTCTTACACTAGATGGAGACAGTGGTAGAATCCACCCACCAGCAATGAGAGTACCTTGACAGGGAAGAATTTCCTACTGCTGTTCATAGACTAGAGGCAGTTAGAGGGAGATCCAGTGATCAGTACCTCGGACGCTGCTAAAAGCAGCTGCCAGCTGCAAAGAACAGCGGCAACTCTAACTACTGCTCACAAGTGTGATGCTGCTGCTATTGATATAAAAAATTACTAGAAAGGGGACAAAACTACGACTTGCAGTCTCCTGTAAAAAGGCATGTATGTTTTTCCAGCAAACAAAACCAGTACCTCAGGTGCTACTGTACAGGACGTGCTGGTTTCTTTCTTCAGCTAGAATTTGGTTCCTTTATAGTTGAGGGCAAATGGACTCTTTGTTCATCCATTCTTTTAGCTTGGGATCGTAAAATTAGGCTGAAAAAATCCTCATCTGGTACGGTGGGTCCTTTTGCAGATGGTGGAGGAGCACATCTTTGATCGTCCAGTCTGGAACCCTACAGACAGAGCAAGCAATCATGCTGCATGTTCACAGGAATATACATATAAGGCTGCTGAACAATATAAGTGAATAATTACTAAAAGGTTTTGTTTTCAGATCTAAAGCTACTACAAGGATTTAATTTGTAAGTTTTGTTTCAAGTTAGACTCCTCCAATGAAATAAGAATTTAAAAGCACACATGCAGCTAAAATGGTTCCCTCAACCCACCTGTCCACCTGTATCTGAAAGTAAACCCTCAATTTAGTTCTTGTTCATATTGCAGAATGAAATTTAAGTGTCCTTTGTCCAGAAGAACCATTTTAGCATTAGTAGATAATATTTCTAGTCTCATATAATAGAAAATATTGTTGGCTTCATTTCCTTATACAAGAATTAGAAAAAAAACAAACTAATGTCAGATTTGGAAAGGCAAAATTTAAAGTTTTCCTCCAAACTCCAAAGACTGGTACATTTTACTCAGTGTTACAGAGCAGTTCACAAACAGCTCTGTGATAGGTATTGCAGAATTAAATTTAAGTGTCCTTTGTCCTGAAGAACAATTTTAGCATTAGTAGATAATATTTCTAGTCTCATATAATAGAAAATATTGTTGGCTTCATTTCCTTATACAAGAATTAGAAAAAAAACCACCTAATGTCAGATTTGGAAAGGCAAAATTTAAAGTTTTCCTCCAAACTCCAAAGACTGGTACATTTTACTCAGTGTTACAGAGCAGTTCACAAACAGCTCTGTGATAGTTTTCTGTGCACATCTCATTTCACACAGCCATCCCCTCCTGGTCTGATTCTAGAGCATCAGCCTGTCACCCTAGGCCTGCCATCCACAGTAGCTCCTTTCAAAGAATTAATTAAATTCGCTTTGGTCTAATTGGTATATATACCATGCTCTAACTGACACTGGGAAACCTCACTTGTCTACTGAACTATTATTTAAACTTAATATAACTGGAACGGTGATCACTGTCACCACTAAAACTTTGATACTCAATTCTTTCATCCGGTAAGTTAGGGTTCCTGGGGTACCTGCTGCCCTCCCAACAAGCCGGGTTTAAACGCCTTTTCTTAAAATGATTCTACGTACTCTTTTTAATAGTCTCACTTGTTTTCCTTCATCTTTTTAGCATGTGTTACTTTAAATGGTTAATGGGATATAAAGACCAACATTACACTTACTAGAAACTGGATAATATGAGGGGAAAAAAAAATTTTAAAATTGTAAAAAAACTAAGACAATCTTGAAAAGAAAATCCTAATTTTTTTGTTCTCCTTATCTGCCAAATCAATTTGTATCTTAAAATGCATGATACACAAGGTGGTTTGGTTGAAGAAACTAAATAGCAGGATGCACAGATCAAATCCCCAAGGAGTAAATCAATTTGTATCTTAAAACGCACAAGGTGGTTTGCTTGAAGAAACTAAACAGCAGGATGCACAGATCAAATCCCCAAGGAGTCAGAAGCTGAAGAGTTTCTGTAAAAGCCTTACCTGGCACTTTATCAATCTATCGAAGAAGTCGTCGTCCAGTTCCCTGTTGTTAGTCGCCATGAGGTGCCCCAGCACGGCCTGGCTGCTGCGCTGGTTCAGGCGCAGCCCGGGGAGGTTGCTGAAGCTGGCGCGCTGGTCGTCCAGCCGGCGGCTCTGGGAGCTGGCCAGCAGGTCGAGAAATTCATCCGTGTGCGGCGACACCACAGAAGTAGAGAAGGCTGGGCAGGAGGAAGAGAACGAGTTAGCCTACAAATAAGTTCCTCTCCAGACTAAGTCTTGCGTGCAAGTACATTTTTAACGGAACGTGCTTCAGTTTTTAACTCAAGTTAAATATGGATTTTACTTTCAAAAAAATTACATTTTCTCATTGTTTTAGGTGGAGTAGAGGATGTTGCCACTGAAGCAGCTGGGAATCTGTTCTTCTCCTGGAAGTAGCATCTCTGATCGTCCATCCTGTTACTCTGGAACCGACTCAGCAGATCAAAGAACCCTTCATCTGCCATTGCCTCTCGACTGTTTTTCTGAAGAGGAGAGAAGAGTTAGGAGTATTTTGAACTCAAGAGTACCCTAAACTAGGACAGCTGTGTCACAGTTTCAGTCCAGTAATATGTTTGATATTTGCACATCTGAAATCCATTAAATGAATTTTGTTAGTCATCCGTTTCTATAGACAGAGATTTATCCTAAGAGGAAATGCTAATAATATGGGAAGCATTTTTGGAAGGTTAAATATATTAGAAACGTTTCATTCTCAGGAACAGAAAGAAATGGAACTCTGATCAGTACAGCTGGAGTTACTCCTCAGCCGTGAATCCACCAAAAAAAAAAAAGCCCATGAAAGAAAAAAGCAGGAATAGCAATGAACAGTTTCCATTGTCTCCTCAGGTGTGTGGTGAAAAGCATGCATCTCTCAGCTACAGCAAATGACTTGGTTCTTTTATTTTTACTTGACTCTTGTCAAGAGTGCAATAACCTAAAAAAATATGTCAAAAATATCTCCCACTGCCTGATTCAGCAAAGCTAGATTTGGTGAAGTCTGGCGAAGCAGGGTCTAGAAGAGACTAGAAATAGAATCTATGTGCAAGCTGAGCTGTGATGTTAGAAAATCCACCAGGAAAAAAAAGGTTGCAATAGTAGGAAAAGCTTAAAGCTGGCACCACCCCTGAGACAGCTGTCGACTGGCAGAGTCTGCGCCGTGTTACAGAGCACGGTGTTTACACGGGTAAAACCGAAAAGGGCAGCTGCAAGAACGTGCTCTCCATCATTCTGATCAGACAGAGATTAGTAAAGGCCATGATCTCCACAGCTCACCAAACCTACCCTCTGGGAGTTTGGAAGTCGATGATCAATAGAATTACTGGCATCCTGCAAAACTTTGGAAGTGGTGCCGTTTTTGTACTTTTTGCCTTTTAGTCGATTTACAAAATGCAGTTTTGCTGAAGGTTTGGCAACCAGTGGTTTCTGTTTAGCAAGAATCTCACTGTTCCAGTTCTGAACCTAAGAAAACAAGAGTCATGGAATTAAGCCTTCTGATTTTAATTTCCTGTACTGTTACCTCTTATTTGCTGCTGTGTTTCCTCCCCCTACTGGAGCAGCTTTACATTATTTAGTTTATCGAGCCACAAGGATGTGAAAACTTAGGTTTTCTTTCTATTATTTGACCTGGAGCTCTTGTTACCTGAAGCAGGTTAGTGCTGTTACTGGTCAGTCTTCTAATTGAACTGTAGTGCGGCACCTGATTGATTAAAAATGTGGTCAAATAATATATTTAATCAAACATGGAAGTTTTCCTTGCTGACTGCTGTGCAAGAAATGTAGCTAATGTGAATACTAAAATGCAAATACAGCTGGCATTTCCCACCTGACATTTTTAAAATTGGAAAGAAAAAACTAAAAGGAAAAATCCATAGTTCTACAAAACGTTAGAGCAAACCAAACCCTTATACAAACCCAGATACTCAACCAGCCTTCTCTGAAGTCCTTTATAGACACAAAATTCCCAGTAAAGATTGAAAAGGAAGAGGGAGAAGAATGCCAGCACAAGAGCAAACAGGAATAACCGTCCCGTGTCACTGAAGAACAGAATAGATAGCTTTATCAACCTGACAGATTTTCCCTACATTTCCAAAATAAACAGAATTATCCACAAAATTGACTGCTTTATCCACAGCTGACAAACTCTTACAATAACTGAATAAAACCACATCTTTTTCTTGATTCAACATCAGAAATTGTGAACACAATCACAGATCTTTCCAGCAGCGCTGCCTACCCCAGTGGATTGCCTTTTGAAGGCTTATTTAACATCAGCTGGAGATTCCAACTCCAAGAAGACAACACCCTGTACAATCAAACTGTAATGTTCTATATAGCAAAGGCATCGATGGAATAAATTCTCAGAATCTACTAAATGAGTATCTTGGAGAAAGCCCTTTATTAGGGCTAAGCTGCGATACTAGGTTAATACTTTAATATTTTTTTATATTTAGGGCACAGACTATCATGAGCTATGTTTTTAAAGGGTATCACAGATAAATAGATTCAGAGTAAGAAAAAAAGCCAAAAGCTTAGAGGTTCCCTGCAGAGAACTCACCCTCAACCAAATGCACAGTCTTTTCAAATCAGTACACAAAGTCAGTGCTGAGTTCTGCTCTACCAACTGCTGAGATGCAAGCTTTGAGATTTCATTTCCTATTTGACAAACCCGGTGGATAACAGGCTTTGCATCACTTGAAGAGATGGGAATGAGAGATCCCAGTACAGAGGGAAAAGTGGCAATTTCAGTCTGCCCCGGTGTCATTTCTGTAGAACTGTGTTTAGAGGCAGATAGATAGAATTTGAAGGAAATCTCTTGAAGATTGACACAAGGATTTTAGTCTGGAACTCCCAGCTCCAAGAGAGTTCTCTGAGCTTGGGGGAAGTTACTTTACCTCTCTGTGACTCAGTGTCAGCATTTCTCAAATAGCATCCTTACTCGAGACGGATGCTGAAAATCCTAACAGCTTGCAAGTTGGTCAAAATCCCAAAGAGAAAAGCACAACATGTATTTTAAGTGCCTATAAAATGACTGTAATCAAAGAACAAATGTTCACAACAGCTGAACTAAAGCTTAGAAATGTTATTCTCAATCATTTCCGTACTGCATCTTCAAACCCCTTTTAAAGAGGAGATGAAAGGAATTCCTACAGGACCCCATTCTTTCCTATTTGTGAGTGGAATGAAGCAAGCGTTGCACAAGCCATTACAGCCCTCGTGTGTGTAAGCTGGTGACCCCTACCTACACGACAAAACTAGTAGTTGTTAGAATCGTTAGACCTGCTTTTACCTAACTCTTAAGAGCAACTAAATTAAAAAAGGGATGCAAACGACGCATCGACATTTTGCTGAGTTCTTTCAAAGCTGTTAAATATAGAACTTCTGACTATTCCTAACTGTTGAAGTTAAAAACCTTAGAAACTTTTCATTGTAATCTCACTGGCAGAGCAGAAAGAAGGAAAGTGCCCACCTTTTCTGGTGTTAATTTCATAAGTTCCATGTTCTCCATACTGTGACGGCGTCCTACTCTCGGTCTGGTACCTTCAAAAGAATCAAGTTCATCTTTTTATCATTAAGATCTTTGGTGTCACCTTCAAAGCTGTGGCTTTACTCATCTAAGGTCCAAGATAAAGCAATTCTGAGTTCCAAAATAGTGTAGTTAAATATATCAGCAGAGAATAAATAACCACTAGTAAAAGCAGCCCTCAAAACCACACTGATCTAAGCGACCTAAGCTGCTTTCATGGGACATGAGAAGGATCATGGATCTTTGAACAGAGGAACATCAAATGAACTGGCTTCTACTGTAACTCCCAGTGTCACTAAGACGGTAGGCAGGAACAAGGAAAGACATAATTTGGCAGCAAGTAGATACATCTCCCACATTAAAAAGAAAGAAAAACTGGGGGAAGGAGGGAAACAATTAGGAAGATCATGTGAAGAAACTAAGCAGTGACCTGTGATTCACAATGTAAATCCTCCAGGAGAGGAGGTGCTGAAGGGGTCCAGTAGTGCAAAAACAACCTTTTTTCGCTAATGTGGGGGGCAGAGGGGGAAGGGCAAACCTGCATTCTCAACCATCTCTAGTCAGAAAACAACACCGAAACAGATTATTTTTAAAGTTCCAGTTAGAACATATTGCAGAAATAGGCACGTACCATTCAGATTGTTATCTACCACATGGCTTTCTGACATCATGGAGTTGTTTGTGCTGTAGCTTAATCCAAGAACCATTTGAAGATCTGAGAGATTAAGCCTAGCAGTGAGTTCCCCACTTCTATCTCCTACCTGCAAGCAAATAAAATAAGCAGTTCTATTACTGTAACGAAGTATACACCTATGTAAATACACAGCAAACCTTGCCCCCTAGATTTCTGAGAGAAAAAGGCTGAAAAGGTTTTCCTGGTTGAAAACTAAGAGAATCATCTTTTTAGTGAAATACATGACAACTAAAAGGTAAATAACAAAGCCTAAAATAACCTCTGCTAGGCTGTTAACTTGAATTCTACAATGACATTATCAGAGGTGGCATGAGAACTAAGGAGCTGCCTGCAGTGAGACATGGCTGCAATAATTCAGAATCAACTACGTCAGAAATACTCAAAATCCATTCCATTATTCCAAATCCCAAGCATGGACACACCTCCATTAAAATCACTGTGGAAGCGAGTAAAACCCAACAGCCAACATTCGGAGAGTGTGAAAATCCTACCTCTCTTGAGATCTCCAAGTGCCTTTCTGCAAAATGCATGGCTTGGTCGTGATTTCCCAGAGCCGTGTACGCGTTCCCTAGGCTCCAGCACGCTCTTCCTTCACCAATTCTGCAAAAAAACCAAACACATTGTCAATTACACCTTTCCTCGCTGAACACCAGGGGGCAGGTTTCCGTAGCACTGCCACCGTGAGATTGCCCTGCCAAGAAATATGAAGGCTGTCATCTAAAACCATTCCAACACCAACACCTTAAATATTGTATTTCAAGAAGTGTGATCTGGGTATAACCATAAATATCAGCAAATCTAATAAAAATTTTCATTTTTAAAAAAACATAAGGCACTTGGTTTTGAAAGAATGGAACATTTTATAACCTACTTTGCTTTTCCTCAGATTGCATGCTTTACTATTCTTTACATATTCTGCTTACGGAGTTAGAAGCGCATTTAAAATTGTAACAAATTTTAGTTGTACCCAATCTTATAAAAAAGGCCTTAGAAATCATGATTATAAAATAAACATTACTTGCTACTGTATCTATCCTTTTCCAATCCCTTCCCATATTCTTAATTTGTGGAAAAGTAGAAGACATATTCTTATGAAGGTATGCAAATTTATTATAATGAAGTCATGAAAAAAGAGACATTTGCTTTTCTTTTCCTTAATTTACACAGAAGATGCTGACAGAAGAAGATGTAGAGGCAGTCTCTCATCAATCCATCTTTCATCTCAGACTCATTAGCTGCAATACCTTCAGGAGGAAGTTTTTTTCCCCCTGTGAACACTGGAGCCCAGCATCGTAGGGGATTCACATTAATTCAGCTGTCACACACAGAACAGTGACAGCAGAGGTAGAGGTAACTGGATTTGGTTTACGTGTCATATATACATTAAACAATCTCCTAGGGCTTACTTATCATTCAATTCCTGAGCAATCACAAGGTGTTTCAAATGATAGTCGATTGCTTTTTCATAGTCTTGGAGCAAAGTGTAGGTGTTCCCAAGGCTGTAGCAGGCCTGTGCTTCCACAGCTCTGTCCTTAAGCTGCCGAGCCAGCTGTAATGTCCTCCTGAAAGAAACCCCAACAGTCACTGCAAGAAAAAGCTTTTAAAAGTATACTGGCACAACTAAAAATCAATTCTCACATTAAACCAATTAGGACACCAGGATGGCAAATTAGCTACTAATAAATTACTATCTTGTAAACTCTTAAAATATTTTAAGTGTCTTTCCTCCGCTGCAACCTATTTCCATTTACTTTATTAGAAAGCAGACTGATCCATCAAACAGCATCTTCTAATTTTAATTTACTGCTTCATCAATAATTTATAGCATCTTTCCTGACAGTATGCACTTGAAACTGTTTAGTACCAGCATTGCAATAAACACTGTACATTAAAGAGCAAGACAGACTATAACCAGCATGCCAGCCTGTCTCTGCTGGGTAAGACGCGTTTGAGAGCTGAACAGAGCCTGAGCACTATTCAGGGTTGGTTTTTTTCTTTTTTCAAAAATAACAGGTAATCCCTGAAGTCCACATTAAGATGCTAACAGCTATACTGTGTCTTTGCCGAGCTCATCTTTTCATAGAATCATAGAATGCTTTGCGTTGGAAGGGACCTTTAAAGGTCATCTAGTCCAACCTCTGCTGCAATAAGAAGGGACATCTTCAACTAGATCAGATTGCTCAGAGCCCTGTCCAACACGACCTTGAATGTTTCCAGGGATGGGGCATCCACAACTTCTCTGGGCAACCTGTTCCAGTGCTTTACCACCCTTATCATAAAGAATTTCTCCCTAATGTCTAATCTAAATCTCCCCTTTTTCAGTTTAAAACCATTACCCCTCGTCCTATCACACACTCCCTGATAGAGTCCCTCTCCATCTTTCCTGTAGACACTGCTTAGTGGTACAGAGACCAAGAAAAATGTCTTGATTGAAAATACAGACTAAAGGTGTAAAATCACACTGAGGTGCAGCGCCCATCGCAATAGTGAGTACACCTGAGACAGCTCCCATCTCAGGTGTAGCTCTGCTGATCTGTACTCAGATCATGCCACAACTTGCTGAGAGCTAAGGCAGCAACGCTTGGCTCTGGAATAAAGGGGAATAAAAACCTATCAGCAGAAAGATGTCTGCAGTGCAGACAAGAATCTATCTAAAGTAACAAAAAAGGTAAAAAAATAAAAAAGGTTAATTCTGCCCCTCCCTTAGAAGAACAAGAGCAGTTAAACAACTAGGGAAAAAAAAATGTTATTTTTGCTAGGTAAATGCAGCTAAGTATATGTTTCTAAGTATATGTTGAAGAGATGGCTATTCTACAGTGAGTTAAAGTATCAGGCACAACAGAAGTAAACTATGTAAGAAGAGGTATAAATATATAAGCAGTCAACTAACTTGTAGTATTCAGAAGCAGTTTCGAATTCACCCAGGAATATGTAGGCATTTCCAAGATTGCTGTACGCTCTTCTTTCCGCTGATCTATCACCAAATTCTTTTGCAATTAGGAGACGCTTAAAAATATGAAATAATTGTGTCATTTAATCAATTTTGTACTTTGTAACATACATTTGCATACAGAAACGCACGCTCAGAGTTATATCTATTCTTTAGGCCAACAATGCTTGAAAAGAACAGCTAAACTTGAAGCTGTGCCATTAAGATTTAAAACTTGCATTAAAAAAGCTTGCAACAAGATCCAACACAATACACACAGGTAAGATGATGAGCAACTGGCAATATTTTGCCAGAACAGAATTCCTTACTAGCACATTCTTGTACCTGTTCATGGGCTAAAACTGCACTCCTGAAGTTGCCCAGAAGATAGTGTGTGTTCCCCAGATTTCCAAAGGCACGTCCTTGTGCTGCTCTATCACCCAGCTCTGTTACTATTGTCAGGTTTTCTCTGTTTTATGGGAAGTGAGAAGAGGAAGAGTAGTGACTTTTTAAAGAGGTTTTTTCCTCACAGTCATTTAAATTACAACACGAAAAAATCTTTCTATTTATATAAAGAAAAAGGTAGAAGTATTCTGCTTGGGCCTATTTTAATGGCCTTTATGCAGCCGTGAAAGTTCCACTGAGTAGGAAACATTTCCTGTGAGATACCGAAGTTACTTGCACTCTTAGTCCAGCTGGTGTGCTTGTTTCTAGTTCAGAGCGACATTACATACAGGCATACCGAGCTCTGTTGTTATCTCAGTCTGGTTTGAAGAGTACTACTGAATTCTAACATAAGGGAAGGACTTAGCAGGTAATAAGAGGTCCACTAAAATGAGAGCATAACAAAAATATAGTGTGCTCTCCAGTTTAAAAGGGAAAAAACTAACAGGTAGCACTGTTCTGAATAGAAGCATGCCACAGGTTAGTTCATGACACCACACAGCTCCCAATATTCTAATGAACTAGATGATCATATCCTCTCAGTCATCAACATTTAAAGCTACTACTTACTCATAATAATTTGCAGCTTTTTGTAAAGCATTTTTCACATCATCTGGAAGCTCCCCTGGATCATGAGTCCCAGCACTAGCTACGTTTTTCCCTTTAGAGTGATATACATTTCCCAGATTATATAGTGCTCTTGCTTCTCCAACCTAAACCAAAAGTAAAATAAGGCATTAAAATTTTATGCTTCGAAGTTGTGTCAACACAATTGGTAGTACAATCCACAGATGAGAAAAGAAGTTTTAAGCAGTTGTCAACACAGGCTCTGCCCATTCTGAACATGTTCTTACCACCCACTGGACTCCCACCCCATCATATCCCTCAATCAAATTGATTTGCATACTACTTCCTCTTGAGGTGCAAGACACATAGTAATTCTTGAGTCCAATTATCATTAAAATTAAATAATAAACAAACAGCAACAAAAAACAACAACAAAACCCCACAAACCAGGACAACATTAATCGCTGGCACACTCATTACCAAAACAACAGGGTTCAGAAATACGTGTTAGCAGTTTACTTTGATTCCTAAGCAATTCTTACCTTATCATTAAGCTCTCTGGAAATATCCAGATGTCTTTGACAACAAACAATAGCTTCTTCAAAATTCCCAAGTACCTTTAAGGTGTTGCCCAGATTCCCACTAGCTTTAGCTTCTCCCAGTAGATCTCCAATTGTCCTAAAATTGCAGAAATAAAGCACACAGTAAGTAATGGATTATTTGAAACCAAGCACATAATTAATGTATGGTAGACAATTAGAAGAATTTATGACAAGAGATTACAACCATGTAAATATGTATGTATTTAGTTAATTTTATATCTAAAATGCACTCACATAAAGATTGTTCAATCTGTGGTTACAGACATTTAATTTTGTCGGTGCTGTTTGTGCAACTGCTGGTATTGATGGTATTGATCATCTACTTAACATTAAAAAAAATAATCACTTCTTTTAGGAGGAGAATAAAGAGAAAATTCTTAATAATTAAGACATATTGTCTCGCAGAAAGCTCAGAGGTGATACTACATTTCTAGATTCTAAACGAGACTACAACAAGAGACTGGCACTGAACCACCCAGACTGGGATACCTGGGGAATAACACAACAAGTTCCCACAAGGTTACAGCACTCGGGCAGGTTAAGGCAGCAGAAAGAATAAGTCTGTACCTAAACTGAGGTTAAGTACATTAGGTGCCTGTGTCTTTTATTGGATCTATAACGTATCATTAAAAGTCAGATGCATAAATAGCACATGGAATGCATAGGGGTTTTACATCTCACAATATTACAAGTTGTACGCAGAGAAACATGAATAAGGAAACAAGAGAGCCAGCTTAATGTTCTGGAGAACCAGAAAGACTGAGTTTTACAAACAGGAAAGGGTAAAGAAAGGGTGGATTTAAAGAAGCCATTTAATTATCCACAAACCCGGTGAGGCCTCAGTCAGATTATGGTGCTAGATCGACTATTAGCTCCCAGGTTAAAGGGCAATCAAGTTACCTGCCAGACCACCTGGCCTTCTGCCATCACCACATTCACTCATTATCCAGTATTAATACTGGATTATTTTGGTAGGAAAAAGAACAGTCAATTGCTCATCTCTACAAGAGTGGGATAAAATGGAGAACAGGGTGAAAGAAAGAGACAAGATTACCTTGCAAGAGTTAAATCATGGTGATGGTATTCCAAGGCCTTTGCATATTCATGCAAGTAGAAATAGGCATTGCCTAACTGGCTGTAAATAGCACTGAGTGTTTTTAGATCTTCAGTTCCAACCTGAACAGCTGCTTCAAAGAAAGACACACCAGCTCGGCAATCCCCTGCTTTACACAGGCGCTCACCTTCCAAAGCCAGCTCCAGGCAGGAAGCCTCCATCCTGCACAATTTAAGTAAAAAGAAAAACAGTCACTCTAAACATAGCACTGAGTTCTGAAGAGGTTATTTTACTCAGTGTCTCTGTTTGTTTAGGACAGGGAATCAGCACCACAGTACAAGCAATGAGTGGGGAATAGGATATTGCAGAAACTAACGCTGAAATGGAAATTGCAACTTCAACAGCAATGAGCAAACATAACATTAGAACAAATAGCTGCAATTTTTTTTTTCTTTCTTCCTTTCTTTTCTTTCTTTCTTTTTAAGTCTCAAGGAGGAAATCCAAACACTGCTCTGTCCATATATAGCACTTGTAGGATTCAAAAATGCAAAGTTTTCACCAAATAGATAATTCCGGGAAAGTGACCTAGAAATCAAGCTATTATTGGCAAATACTGATTTTGACAAATGTAAGCACTTTTATTTGTAGGCTGATCCCACAGTTACCTGTAAAAAATGTCTTATGGAAAAAAAAATTAAAATATTCCTGTGTATCATAGACCGTGACTATTTTTCTGAAAGTTGTTTCCTCTGTAATTCAATACTCCTTGGCACCTCACCATTTCCTATAGTGGCACTGCTATGAAAATTCTCAGACGGTTAAGACAAAAGATCTAGGTTGAATTAACAACAAAAATGTATGTCAGTTCAAATTACTTAACTGAGATGCCATCATTCCAGAAGCCACTGGAATAATTTTTATTATTATGAGCAAATAATTCTATAATTATATGGTACAAAATAGTGCAAGCAGTAAAGAAGATACCCATGATTTATAGCAGAATTTGTAGATGACATTTTGAACAGTGAAGAAAGAAATTGTTAGAGAACTGCAGCTGCCAAAAAATTATCATACATATTTTTGCTACTGTGAATTCAGGTATACAAAAGGTAACATTTCACTAAGTGTTAATGACTATGTACAAACATTTCCTGCTTTCCAGTTCCGAGATGCAAAAGAGATATGGGAGAGGAGAACGAGAAGGAAGAAGACCAAGTTATTGATCTTGAAGCAATACGGTTCTCTAGCTTCTTCAAGATATATGCATTTTAAAAAGCTCACAAAAACATCATCAACCTACTTTTAAGATATTTTTTTCAAAAAAAACCCTCAGTAACAGACATTCTGTAGGTGTTTAAGAAGCGTGTGCTAATATTGTCAAAAAGTGAGCATCAGTTTCATAAATTCATCTATTGTTTTGATTTTTTCTTCAAGATGGATTATACAGTAAGAACATTGGTGCAGTCAAAGATATCCTCATTATGTCACCATTTGATATTCACCTGTTTGCAAGATTAAACCATTTAGAATTCCATTCTTAAAACCACTTCCCTTCATATGCACAGATCAGTAATAGCAACAATCAAACGTTGGCTTTTCCAAAAGTTATTTTAATAGCAACACCAGAAGACAGCTGTTATACAAGACACAGTGAAGAAGTATTTAACATACCTGCAACATTTATGTTTATTCTCCTAAATCAGAAAAAAAAACAGGTTATACAACATTCTACTCAAATCTGAGCAAGAAAGAAATATATTTGAAAAATCCAATTACTTTCCAAAGAAATAGAAGAATTCAGATCATAAGTAAAAGAAGCTACCAACACAAAATAGTACCATACCTGCTGGCCTTCGACATTCCACAATTTAAGCACAATGAGATGACAGACATATTTAACTTTTGCAATTAAAAGTACTGTATGCTTGGTAGTTGGTAAAGATGCAGACAGCAAATGATAACTCAGGCACAAAGTTCTTCCCAGGCCCAACTTCTCAGGTTGGATATCCATAACACATGCAGTATTTTTAGGTTTAGAAACTCTTCTCAGAGAAGTTAAAGCATTCCTATTTGCTAGAACACACAACCTGGTGTTTATTACATTGTGCATGTGTTGAATGCAAGAATGAAAGAGGCAGAAATGATTAAGTACTGTTAAGTACAGGCAGAAATGATTACACCATCAGCAACTGAAGGTTTAAGACTTAAAACACTTCATTGGGTAATCTTAATCCTATCCGAAGAGGTTCTCTCCGGGCACCTCATGTTAACTGCCGGGACCAATTAACGTGATGGCTGGAAATATATGGTGCTCCTTAGTGCAAAGATTTAGACCATTACACAATTACATTCATTTCTTCAGATTTTTAGCTTGAATGGCTAAAAAGAGCTTTCAGCAAAATGTGTAACACAATAGTAAAAATGCTACATTGGACTCCAGTTCTATAAGTGAATTTATACCACTAAAAAAATCTATCCTGTTCAGATTTGCAAATATGATGCATCAGCCACCTAATGAATGAAGAGAAGGCATAGTTTAAAAAGGTACAAAGACACAGTATCAGAGAACGCTATGGACCGGTAATTTTCCTGATATACTGCATTCAATTAATTTCACACTATGCCAAAGACTGCCACATGCCAAGGCAGCATCACCATTTCATCAAACAACTTTTAACTTGTCAACCCAGACTTAATATAACTTTGAAAAATGGAAGATTTGGGTTTTTTCATAGAGAACATAAATAACTACGAAGCTAAGGCTTATACCCAGGCTGATGAAAATCAGCTGTTATTACAGAGTGTTTTAATTCAACCATAATTACAAGAAGTAAATAAGAATTAGTAATTGTTTGAGTAAAAAAGAACCCAAAATTTAACACTACTCTTGAGTGCAACTCTAGAAAGGTTATGTTAACAGGTTGCTAGAATCTGTAAAGCAATTAAAGTTATAATTCCATTTGGATGCATTCTTACTGACCTTCTACAATTTCAAAGTCTAAATAAGCTATATAAAAAAAAGAAAAGAACAGAGAAAATGAAGTATTTGTTTCCACAGTTGCCTGTACCCAGTATTAATATTTTATTCACATTATACAAGAGCTATGAGATCATTCAGTTATTTTAAAAGTTTGCTAAGCTTGTCCATTAAGTACCACAACTGGACTCAGAAGAGGTTTGGGTTTGGTTGGTTGGCTGGTTTTTTCCTCCACTACTTAAAGAACTGTTGTGAAAATTAACACAGCTGGGTTGGATTTTGGTTGGTTTGGTGGGGTTTTTTTAAGATTTACATAGGTGTTCTCCAGTCAAAAAACCATCACCTCTTAGGAGCTTTAACTGTCACTACTAATGGTTAAGTAGCATGTCGGTAGACTAGCCAGGGCTGGGTAGGTTATCAATATTTTAGCAAGTCATTAAATAGTTACAAGGAGAATATGAAATTACTTTCTCTGTTCCCAGGGCTGAATTGAATTACTTATCTATTCAACACCCAATGGCTAAACAAAAGATACATTGAATCCCCAGAGAGGAGAAAAGAACAAGGTCCATTCATCTGTGTACTTCTAATGAAATTCGGATCCTGCTAAACAGGATAATGTCCTTCCAGATATCACTGTGGAAATACTCATACAGGGCTTCATTTTGTTATTCTGTTTATAGTTGCCTGGACCTGTTCTCTGAAAGGCTGGCATCTCCTGAATAATTTCTCATTTGTAAAACTACCTCATCCTTATCTGTCCCTCTAAGCTTTTCATCTTGCCTGGCTCCCTCTACTTCCTCCTCCTCTCTCCTCCCACTCCCGCCTTGCCCTTCTTTTTTTTTTCCCCTTGCTCTTCTCTGACCTTCTTCATATTCTCTTTTGAGTCTTTATACTTACAAGAATATAGACCCTATGCATATGCCTCTACCCTAGCCTGCCAGTTTTTTTCTCTCACTCTGGAGTTCTCTTCTGAATCTTTATACTTACAAGAATATAGACCCTATGCATATGCCTCTACCCTAGCCTGCCAGTTTTTTTCTCTCACTCTGGAGTCTCCTTTTTTCACCTGTTCTCAAAACAAGCAACACAAAACTAGTCAGAAAATAAGGCACTAAAAGAAGGCAAGAAGACTGATCAATTACAACAATCTTTCAACACAATTTAATTTTACTCTGTTCAATTGCCACTAAGGGGACTTTTTGCCATTGAGGAAGGCACTAAAAGAAGGCAAGAAGACTGCTTGATTACAACAATCTTTCAACACAATTTAATTTTACTCTGTTCAATTGCCACTAAGGGGACTTTCTGCCATTGAATGAATGGACCTCCCATGCAATTTTACATGAAATACATTGATTGCCATTGAGGAGGAATGGACCTCCCATGCAATTTTACATGAAATACATTGATACACGTAACATACCTAGACACAAATAAAAAACCCCAAAAATGCATAAAATCACTAATGCCACAGCATCCTATAATAAAGATCACATACTGTTCCTGACTCCTGCCCTTATTCACGGTTTCTATACATCATGCAGAAGCACACCAGACTGACTACTCCAAAGCAACATTGCATTTACTCAAACTAAGTTTGACGGCAAATTTAGAAACAACACACACACAAAGAAACCACACACCTGAATTTTGGGTTCTTTTGCTCTAGTCAAGACAAAAGCAGTTACAAGTTTTTGCTGTATGAATTTAGCAGGCCAAGAAAAGTGAGTTCTACAAATATTTACTCTATAGATCACTTATTAGTCCTATTTATTAACTTCAGCATTTTATTTTCAGTCACTAAACAACCTAAGAATAAAAAATAGTTTCCTTCCACCAGCATCTGCAATTTTATAGCTGTTAAAGTGATACTGGTCAACTACTATGGGGAGAAACAGCTTGCACAGTAAGAAACTGACCCATAGAAAAGCCTTGTCTTAGGAGCGCGCCACCAGTTGCTTTTTAAAGTCAGTTCTATTGGAATACCAGAAGGAAGGAAAAAGCAGAGCCAAACAAGTTTGGGACAATATCTGTATAAAATTTTAAAAACTGATAAATAAAACCACCCCCAGTAATCTATGACCTATTCTTTCCCGCATTAAAGTTTAAACTACAACCAAATAAAATCTTTCTAAATTATAGCTATTACATTAAATAATCATAAAATTCCAGTTCAACACACTGAAATAATGTGCAGTTTCTCTACCTTTTAGAAAAGTTTAATATTTTAAAAAAATTTCAAAGCATTACACCTTGATGTTTTCTAAATGTTCATCAGTTCTTACAGAAAGGTTTCACACAGCCATTAATATTTTTATTGTTAACCAGTATCATTCAAGCGTGTACTGAAACACAGCATAAAGTAGTAAGACAATTTGCCCTGACTGTGCTTGCCAATTTTTTGTTGGCTTGTCAATTTAAACCAGACAATTGGCCGTGCCACTTTCTTTCATGCATTTCCTTCTCTAATAGTACCCTGAACAGCTCCTGCGCTCATTAAAGAGTGAGGAAGGGCCTTCTAGTTTTCTGGGGAGGACCAAGAGCATCAGCCACAGTGTGGGTAAACATGTTACAGGAATGCTGGGAGTTACAAAGATTCAAGAAACACGTAGCACAGAAGAAATATCACGCTCACACATGCAGGGATTCTTGTTGTCAAAGCCACAAAGTAAAGATTTTAGCAAAATAAAGCAAACAGAGAGTAAATTACAAATTATAGCTATTACATTAAATCATCATAAAATTCCAGTTCAACACACTGAATTAATGTGCAGTTTCTCTACCTTTTAGAAAAGTTTAATATTTAAAAAAAAATTCAAAGCATTACGCCTTGATGTTTTCTAAATGTTCATCAGTTCTTACAGAAAGGTTTCACGCAGCCATTCATATTGTTATTGTTATCCAGTATCATTCAAGCGTGTACTGAAATACAGCATAAAGTAGTAAGACAATTTGCCCTGACTGTGCTTGCCAATTTTTTGTTGGCTTGTCAATTTAAACCAGACAATTGGCCGTGCCACTTTCTTTCATGCATTTCCTTCTCTAATAGTACCCTGAACAGCTCCTGCTCTCATTAAAGAGTGAGGAAGGGCCTTCTAGTTTTCTGGGGAGGACCAAGAGCATCAGCCACAGTGTGGGTAAACATGTTACAGGAATGCTGGGAGTTACAAAGATTCAAGAAACACGTAGCACAGAAGAAATATCACGCTCACACACGCAGGGATTCTTGCTGTCAAAGCCACAAAGTAAAGATTTTAGCAAAATAAAGCAAACAGAGAGTAAATTACAGTTTATTTGCTAATTTTCTCCTTACTGACCACGAAAAAGCTCCTCCTGCTGACTGCACTGCTAACCAGAACACTGTACTTCTACAAAACAGAAGAGAAGCCCAATCTAACAGCAGTCTAACGCTGTCAGAACATTGTCAGAATTAATTTTAAGCTGTAGCATGTGCTGTCTTAATAAGGGCAGTGCTTTGTTCCCGTTAGCTAGCAAGGAAAAGGCCTCCAAAGCAAGGATGACCAGGGTAGAGGGTGGGGGGAGCACACAACAAGAACCACGCTTTATTTGTTTTTAAAACAATCATTCCAGTGTTTCAGTGTCCCTTCCTATTGAATGAGCTGGAAGATTTACCCTTCCAAACATCAGCCATCCAAACACCATGCACTACACAATGCTTCAGTTGTTCAGGTTCATTAGAGGGAGTCTGCAATGCTAACATGTCCTCCCAGGTCTGTAAAGGGGAATGCAGAAAAGAAATGATAAAAGCTCTCAGAAGGGAAATCACATAACCTCTTGACTTACAATAACAGAACTTCTCTAGTCCAAAGAATCAAAGTACTTTCTACATATCAATCAAATCTCTTTATTTTAAGCAAGGCAAACACTCCTCTAAAAATTCACCATTCATAGAAGCAATAATACAAACACTGCTCTAGGTGGCAGCACACCTAAAAATTCACCATTCATAGAAGCAATAATGAGACAAACACAGAGAACTTTAGCAGACAAAATTCAACAATTTGCATATGCAGCCCAAAAGCTAAAAGAGGAGAGAGCAGGTATTACCATGCAGGGATCATACTTCATATCATTCTATCAGAAATACAAAGAAATGCAGACAATCATGTACTATTCTGCAACTGCACAGAGTTCTAATAGTATACAATCATGCAATTATACTAATATAACCTACTATATAACAAAAGTGAATTTTCATAGTTCAAAAATCAAGAAAAGCAAAAAAAAAAAAGTTATTTTAGCTTTCCGTTTCAGTAACACTAGTAACAGAGATACCAAACGATTTGTTGCAACTTGTTTAGTTTGCTATTATTAACAGCACTTATTCATCCACACTAAAATTAATACAGTCTTACCTGTATCGCACATGAAAGGAACGATCTTCACGCATGCTTATCAAAACATTATTTTCCTCCATTGAGTTGCATTATCAGTAGAGAAAATAATACTGTTCTGTAGTAGGGTAAGTACTTTACTACGGAGAATTGTTGTCAGAACACCATTCCAGTTAGTATATTAATAAGTTGGAGTAAAGATATCCTAAGCTCCTGGTGAAAAACTCTTCTTTATTACTAAGGTAAGGAGGTCACTGTCAGACACATCTTAAACCTTCAGAAACGTGTTCAAGTTCTTTCATCTGTGGCCCTTTAAGCTCCATTCAGCTGCGTTTCTGCAAAGGGAACACAAGATGCTTGGCTTGAAGTCTCATAGTCAGTTAATAACTCATAACTATTTGCAGCTGATGTAAAAGCATAACACTACTCCTACTAAGCAGGAAGCATCAATCAAGAACTTAAAGCCGGAGCCAAAGCCTTCTACACACATATGGCAATTCCTGCAGGCAAGCAAGAAAGCAAAGAAAATTTAACAAAAACCAATGCTCTCTTTTCTGTTGGAAACTTCAAGCAATTTATCCTTGTCAGTGTTATTTGGCCTCATGAAGTTCCAAGCGAAAAGCTTAAAGGATGAAAGCTACAGAATGAAAGACATAATATAAAAGATCCCAAACTGCTTCACACATAAACAGTACTGCTGAAACCCTGACAGCTGAATTCCCACAGTAGTCAGAGCTGGCTGACACAATCCCATCTGAAGATCATCCTTTCTGGAGATCATCCCACCCAGAACATTATAAGTACAGAAGCCAGCAGAGGTTTACGCTCTATTCCCCCTTCCCCTCGTCAATCCCAAAAGAAAAGTGGGAAGGGATGGGCGTTTGGGGTTTTGTTTTTTGTTTTTTTAACACTGGCTTCACATTCCAAAATGCTCCGACATTGTCATATGAGCTCCAAATTCTGCTTCAAAGGGATAGCAGCAGCCAGCACTTAGATGTTAGACGTGTTTAGGCTGACAGGGAAAACATTAAGAAAAAAGAAACTCTGTATTCAAATGTTTACCTACTTTTAAGCTTATTTTTAGTAGAGGAGTTGACATATTTATTGCTCAGTACTAATATTACCTTCCTTTGCAAGTAAACATACAGTTGTGTAATTCACAAATGAATATTTCATCAAGAGACTGCAGAGATGTCAAAAGACAAGAGCAGAGCTCAGATTTAAAGCTGTCACCAGGAGAAAATACAACCCTCTCTATTTTTAATTGTCTATGTAGGCCATGCTTTTTTCCTATCATTACTATTATCCAGTACCAGTTGTGAAGATTCATGCTTCCCATCGTACTCTACCTTGACAGCACCCCTCAAACAGGCCATCCCCATTCCCCCAGTCAAACAACCATTCTGCCCTTCCATGCTCATCATTAGAATTATTCGGCATCAACAAGTGGGTGTGGGTATATTTTTGCAATTACAAAGCATGACACATACACTTCAGAATACCATTGCAACCCACACACTGGGAAGGCTGTGTTACAGGTATTTACTCTCCGGAAGTTTGTCTGAACCTCAAATCAGGTAACTCATACAAGCAAACAGCTGTAAGCCACCCAGTCCACAGCAATCATCCACGAACATTCCTGGTGCTCAGCAAATGCAAGGAAACTGAAAGCTCTGTTCCATAGCTGGGTACACTCATGCAAATTACTACATGCCACCAAATAAAAAGTGTGTACTTTGGCAACTGCCACAGATCATGAAATCACAACTAGCAATTTGTTTGTATATTTACACTGTAATTGTAATTAGCTGAATAATTTAGTTTAATAAGCTTTATTAAAAAAAAAGTCAAATTTAATAAAAAACCAGTCATTTAAAGGTACATCAGAATGACTGCATTTATTCAAATATCAGTTATTTTTAGAAATACATTTCACATCAGGTGTTTACAACTTCATTTTATCTGAGCTACACTTCTGTCCTCATAGTTAGCCTCATCTGCTGACTGATGCCACCATCTCCCAACAGCTGGAACCACTACTTCTGCTTTCTTCCCTCCTTACTGGCCATATGGCACATTCTTGGCCTTGGGAGGGTGACACAGACACACCCAAGTTAGCCAACACATCACGGTCACGGTTCCAACAAATATTACTGGGTCTGGTCTTCATAGCTCACTTCCTTCACCCCTAACTCATCAGGACGTCAAGTTACACCTTCATCCCTGCCAACATGTAATCAGTAAGCAAACTTAAAGCATATTAATTAGGCTGGTGAATTCAAAATTCAGGAGGCGGAAATTGATGAACACTTCCACAGACAGTATCTCTCAGGTGTAAAATTGGCCTTGGGAGGATTACGCTACAGCAAATTAAGCCTTGCTTGTTCTACTGATGCACCTCAACTGTTCAGAATCTCTCTGTGAAACCAAGTCTTTCCCCAGTGGGGGATCAACATGAGACTGACTTGGAGGACACAGTACTTCAGCAGAAAAGCTTATTGAATTTACAGAAATCGGAAGATCTACTCCATCAGCATATCTAACACTTAAACGGGCTTTCTCCTAAACTTGCATTTTCAATTAAAACTTCATGTAGCATGAAAAAAGCACTTGGTCCTTACTGCAAAAGCAAAATCTGTCTTAAAGAAAGCTGCTGCTTTAAATTTATTCTCTCCACACCTTTGAACAATGCAAAATCCATATCCATGTTAAAGAGCTGCCCTTGAGGAAAGCATAAGTAGAAAAGTGAAGCTGTATACACAGCTTCAAAATACACAATTTTACTATTCCAGTTACCAAATGCAGGAAGTCCTAGCTTTTTTGCAATTTCAAAGTAGCAGAAAAAAGCACACAGAAAAGAGATTGGGCCTCCTTCAGAAGTGGAAAATTAAACTGGTGTTACTAATTACACAGCAGTATGACACCAAAGCCAATCCCACCACCACTCCCAAAAAACCAAATAAAGCAAGGCAGAGGTTAGGCAATCAAATGTAGCAGCCAGTTTATATCCCATAACAGACAAAACATGCACTTTATCTTGCTCTTATTAGGAGAAAATGGTGAGCCACAGTTAGGGCTCAACCACCCTGTATATAGACAGCTAAAGGATCTTCAATTAAACCCTCACTAAAAAGCTAACTTCGCCTCAATTCACTGCATTATCTAAAAAATGTATTTATACTGTCAAAGTCACTTTTTATTCTTTTCTATTAAATCACAGATTTCTATAGAAGCTATATATAAGCTTGGGGGTTGCATGAAGTTTTAAGACTGAATTTCTTACTAAATTCTATGAAACTACTTTTAACTTGATTCTCTGAAATTGCATAAAATCTATTGACTCAATTTCTACGAATTTTACTATGAAATAAAAAAAAAAAAAAGGTAAAATACTAATGTTACTAACTGAAAGGAATCCCACACAATAATGCTTTAAAATGTGAAATCCCATCATGCTTGCTTCATTATTTTTCGTAAAATTATTGTCAGTGTTCTCAGAAAGGGAACCAAGGCTTAATGGCTGATATTCAGAGAAAGTACATCTCAACCTTCCATTAACATCACTGAACTGAATCAGTGATATATATATATATAAATATATATATACACTAAGACTTGAATGAGGCTTGCTCTCTCTCAAGAAAAATTACGGAAGAAACCAAGACTCCTCCATCTTCAGTTCTGATCAGTGTATTTCAAGTCACTGACAGCAATAAAACAATAGCTATAATTTCCTTCTCAAAAGCCTGTTATGCAACCTAACTATCCTAGTTATTACACCTTCCAGACAATCATTTCATGTTTTAAGGCATTTTCCATTTCAGAAAATATTTGATTATATACTATGAATTTTACCACAATGATAGACAATCCCTTTAATAAGTTTGCGGCTCTTAGTTACACTGAATGTCTATGACAGATCCCTTCATTTTAACTTTTGACAGAATACCATAATTCCATGAATCAGCAAGCAACAGAAAGCTGACACTGCTATTTATAGCACTATATAGAACCAATAATCACAATATAATGGAGAAGGAGATGTTCCCCCCTGCCCCCCACATCTCCTTAAAACATAACATTTCTGCAGCTTTATTGGCTTCTTCCCTCAATCCATACCTTCCTTTTTGGAGTTTGTCTGATGATCAAAAATATTGCTTTGCGTATCTCCAGTTACATGGTTGACATCGGCTGACTGGTCACTTGGGTCTGCCAAACAGAGTATCTAACAGTTTGATTCTTTCTGCCTTTCCCTAAAGGAGACAACCGAGTAACGCCTTCTCTACCCATCTGCTATTTTTCACAAAGCTATAGGAAAGGAGCATCTGCCAAATGAAGTCATCACTGACTGAGAGATTCAAAAGCTACTAGAGGAAAGTACAGACAGAGGCAGACCAATTGCACAAATTGTATTTCCTTAGAAAAAACAGCTACAGAGATTTGTTGTTTCAACATTAAGGCAAATTTCCCAATGGTGAACTAAGTTTGAATTTCCTTTCAGGAAGAAGCTATAGCATGGGTGAAAAAAGGAGGGAAAAGAAGCTTGAACTGGATTATTTAAAAACAGAGCTTTGCATACCCTATGGAGAAAGAGACAGACTGAACAACAACAAAAATATACTGACAATTCTATTACCAAAACATAGAGGTTAGTTTGGCTTCAGACCTTCAAAATACAAAAGAGCATATAAACACAAATAGTACAACAAGCAACTAGATAATTCATAATCGTAGTCTTCAGTACTGTGCAAGGAGATTTTTAAAATTCACCTGAATTAACAAATAAGCAAAAAAACCAACCCTTGAAATTCTATCTCAAGTTAATTATCATATCTATATAGTAAAGAGGATCATCCTTAGCATTTCTGTAGTAATAAATATTCCCCTGTAAAAGAACCTTAAAATAACCGTGTGCCAGGTTGGGAAAAAGCTATTTCTTCCAACCCTTGAGCACAGTACCATACAAATGACTAGCGTGAGAGTGGATCATGCAGGTAAAAGAAACACTGTACTACAAGCTGTGTGGTTACTCTTGGAAGCTTAATTTTAAACTACTCTCTGCACCACTTTTGACAGAAGTTCAACAGCTGATCAGCAAAGTTTCCTTTGGTTTCCTCAAACCACATGGACAGAACAATCTTTTATATACAAAACATCAGCTCCTTGCTGGAAAGAGAATAAAAAAATGGTAGCTGACCATATAAGGCTATACAGGCATTTATTACCAGAACTGGTGGATGCATGGCTAACTACCTTTTATGAATCAAAAGAACAGAATTACTATAGTGAAGTAATGTCATGTTTTGGGCCAGAATGGCCAATGAGATTGACAGAC